CCCCAGGCTGGTGTTTTTGGCTTATCATTGTTATTGACTATAACTATTATTACTTCATTTTATGCGTATATTCTAAGTTTAACTAAATTTAAATTAATTTATATTATAGCATTGCATTACATCATCCTGTATCCATCCCATAGTAGTGCAATCTTATATCTCTTGCCATTTGTAGTATTTGTGTTCATCAACTTCCCTCTGGTTATCACCGATGCTTCTGCCAGAATTTCTATCATTACTTCTGCCAAATATTTTCCCTTTTTCTTCTATATTCTGGAATCTGAGATAAAATTCTGATCTGTTGTTCTCCCATTCCAATATTCCACTCTTGTCTTTTTCAACCACGGTCAATCTGCTGTCAATATCTCCAATTTTCTGATCTGTTTGTTCATCTTTTTCTTCAATTTTTTGAAATCTGTCCTCGTATTTCATCATCGTTTGGTGAATATTCTCATTTTTTTTCATCTATTTTTCCTGTTCTTTGTTCAATACTCTCCATTCTTTTTTTAATGATCTCTGTTCTTATTTGTATTTTTTGAATTTCTTGCATAATCATCTGTAATGTCACTTCCTTTTCTTTTTCGTGCTGCGACATCATCTGTATTGATCTTTTCCTCCAGATAGTAAACATTGCCACTATATAAAATCCAAGGCTTTTTTATTACGTTACAAACAAGTTCGCTGCAATCTTCTCTCTTTCAAGTCAAGCTTTCTTTTCACTCCAGTCCAGCTACTGATAGTACCCCAGAGGAGCACCTGTATAAACAATCCGTGCTCATCCCGCTATTATTTTCAATAAACAAGCTCGGAGACCTTGAAATGTAGATCAAATGCTCAAAAGAAGAAAAGAAAAACAATGTTTCCAAGCCTCTAAGTGGCAGTGTTACTTCTTTTCCTCTACTTTTACTTCCCTCTTTATATTCCAAACTTGGGGGGGGGGGGATTCTTAAAAAGAAAATGCAATAGAGCATTGAACAAAGAAAAAAAGCCTTAATCATTAAGTATTATTTAAAAAAAGAGAAATAGAAGAAGAAAAAAACAGTCCAGTTTAAAAAATAAGAAACGTTTGTAAAAATTCCATCATTAAAAAGATTAAAGAAAAATAACACACTAAGTTTGACTCAGGCTTAATCTTGCCGCTTAATCTCTTCTGTCTTCAATTTTAACTTTTGATCTTTTTGAGTGTTCTCTAATAATAAAATTTATTTCACTAATTCAACACACTTTCCCCCCCACTTTACTTCCGTTTTGGAGCTGTCCCAACTTTCAGCAGCTTTAATGGCTGCTTCTCTGTCGCCAGAAAAAAGGGCTTCTCCTGGATCTACCAGGGACTTTGCAATGTCCCTGTGATCAGCAGGATGTGCCCTTCTCTATCACCATCTCTACAGAATGGTTTAGGTTCAAAAGGACCGTCCAGTGGCAGAGATATCGATGGCAATATTGGAGCTTCAAGATCGCACGTCGTATCGTCGTGACGTCAGCCCCACCTTCATCAATTCTGTTGTTTTTTCATGGCGTTTTTTATAAAAAAAATCTTGCTTACTATTTAGTGCATATATTGCTAGCAAAAGTATCAGTTGTTTATTCCTCATTATTTCGACCATCAAAATTCTCCCTCCCTCATGTGTAAAAATTTGTTTGGCATTTATTGTGTCTTTTATATACAAGGCCATTCCCCTTTTCTTTTGTAGTGATAAAGCAGTATATAATTTCCCAATTTTCGGATATGCCTATACAATACAATACAATAGTAGAGTTGGAAGGACCTTGGAGGTCTTTTAGTCCAACCCTCTGCCTAGGCAGGAAACCCTATACCGTTTCAGACAGATGGCTATCCAAAATCTTCTTAAAGACTTGCAGTATTGAGGCATTCACAACTTCCACTGATTAATTGTTCTCACTGTCAGGAAATTTCACCTCAGTTCTAAGTTGCTTCTCTCCTTGATTAGTTTCC